GCATCAAAAAAGCAAATATCTATTTCATATTGAATTCGTTATATTTATCAATTGATACTAATTATATCTCTCACATAAAATTCGTTATATTTATGGTTCAGTTGTGATTATTACACATGATTTGTAATTAATATTCAAATTAAATGTCAAAAATATTTAGATATTAATTATTTATCAAGCATATCATTTGCTATATTTATTGATTGATTGATTGTGATTATTACGCATGATTATTATTAATATTTCAAAAAATGTGAAAATTATTTTTCTCACATAACATTCGTTATATTCATCGATTGATTGCAATTATTACTCATGATTATTATTATATTCAAATTAAATGTGAATAATACTTAGATACTAATTATTTATCTCACATAAAGTTCGGTACATTTACTGATTGATTGCGAATATTAGGTATGATTTCTTGTTAATACTCAAAATAAATAAGAAAAATATTTATATACTAATTATCTAACATAAAATTCATTAAACCGATCATCCGATTTTAATTTTCATGTTTGAATATATTACGACTCAAAATAAATAAAAATAATAATTTTAAATTAATTATATATCCAACAAAATTCATTAAAATTCGTTGTGCTTTAATCACAAAAACAATCTACAGGAAATGAGTATTTAATGTTGTTTCGTTGGTCAAACACGTGTGCTTTATTTAGAACCATTACCTTCAAGAAATTTTTTTTTTTAATTTAGGTATAGTTTGCGTAGTTAATTATTTTTATAAATTCAATTTATATGTTTTAATCAGATTGTCTATTTCTAAAACGTTAATTTACCTCCTAGCATTCCTGTTTAATTTTAAATTAATTTAGCATTATTATCGTAAAAGTAAATGTTTGGTATTATGCTCGGATGGAATGACTATATTTGGTTATATAATGGTTCCATAATTCGTAGAGTAATTCTTTTTCTTAAAAATAAAAATAATACAAAGCGCAAAAATAAATAAACGGACTCCTCTGAATACCACGCGATTTTTTAGTAGAGCGGTTCAAGGTTTTGACCTTTTAACGATAATTTTACATTTTGCGTATTACGGTATATCTTGAGATCTATTGAAGCAAATTGAAATGTTTTTGAAAAATTATAAAAATCTTTTATCCAAAGCTGCAAAAAATTAATTTTAGTAAATAATTACATTTTTTTATTATTTTTTTTTAGTAATAGTCGAAAAGATTTTTGAATTGTAAAGTATACAATTTTTATATCATTTTGAAGTATCTAATTGACATGGCAATTTACAAAACTTGCGCGTAATCGGTAAAATAGTTCTTGAGAAATCAAATTTTAAAAAAGTCCTGTACTAAAAATTGTCTGGTCCAATTAATTAGAATATTTGAGGTCACTCTTTCGAACCATTCAGATGGAGTCATAGAACGTGGAGACCTCAAATATGATATGCAGACGATATTTTAGGTTGCGAAATAAGACACAAAAACGCATTTTCTCTAAATAAATACACCTTTTTTGTCATTGATTTGGATTTTTAACCCCCAAAATAAAGGAGACAGCTGAAATCTGGGAAATATGGTCCCAATGGTTTCGTCAGGAGAGGGCTCAAATGTACGTTTATCCAAATAGAATTCCATGCAAAGAATAACTTTCAGTAAATATTTATTATTTTTTATTACTTAATTTAATATTGGTCTAAAAAGTTTTGAATTGTTTTTAATTTTGAGAAGTTGTTTTAAAAGAAACCTGACCGTCAAGCTAACCGTGGGAGATTTTCGTGGTTCCCCTCTCCATGTAACGCAAATGCGGGTTAGTTCCATAAAAAAGTCCTCAACGAAAGCAAATACTTGATCCAGGAGTTCCTTTGTCTACTGGATTAGGTTCAAAATTACAAGGCTACGGAGTTGAACATAAATGAGTCTGTTTCAGAAAATATGGCGGCCAAGCAAGTCCCATTCCAGTAGCTTCTGGGTATCTCAGGTCCAGAATGTTGTCCTGAAAGTACTGTTCTAGAACATCAAGCACTCTGTTCGACCAATGGAGTCGAAATTCGTCTTGTCGAAATCATGAGCACTTTGGATAATGGGGAGGACATCATTTTTCAAAACTTCCACTTATTGTTCAGTAATTACCTTGTTGTCCACGAATATCGCACTGATTTTTCCTTGAATGGACATTGCACACTGTGGCGTAACTACCACTACAATTATTAAACATCAATTCACTGGCATACAAGACGTGCTAACTTGAATTAATCTAGAGGTACCTTTTGATAGATGAAGGTTGGAATTGTCTAATTGTCTTTCTCCACACACACCATGCAGTCATCCGCTGAAGGTGGAGAGGCTTCTCGATCGTGAAAAGCGGATTCAAGTTTCTGTTCGTCTGTTTTCTCAATAATGTGATGGTGAAACACAACCACTGTTCCATGGCATTAGTGATTAATGATTCATTAGTTTGACAATGGGAGTAGATGCAGGCTTTTTACAACAATTCTCCCAGTTGATTTCCACTCGGTAATCAACTTGTCTGATGGATTTCCCTGGGCTGGTTTGAAACACAGTGCATGTCTTCTCGAAGTTTTCAGGTGTTTTCACACTTTTTTGTCGACCGACACTGCAAACACTGTCATCACAAACGTTACCAGTTCTCTCCTAACTTACGAAATCAAATTCTTAATTGTTAGCACTCTTGAAACTGTTTGTCTTTACTGCTTGTACTCAGTCGCAAACTTCCTTCCTACCCCAAGAGGGCTTTTATCACTTTCAAAGGCGTTCACAAGCGATATGCACTCAAGCATGCTGGGCGACAAACAACAATGAGTGGCATGTGCATACTAATTCTCAGCATGCGCTGCTGCCCACGAAGTTTGAACTTCATCAAACAAACTGTTAAGAAGTTATAACGGTTTTATTTCATACTCGCAGTTCAGAAATTATCACGCTGTAGTTTAATCAAAGAATGAAACTAACTTACAAATTCAGAAAAAGACAGAATAAGTAAGTAACATTAAAATAATAAATCAAAATTGAAAAGCGCCTATGGCAGTTAAAACCAAATTTGTTTTATTTTAATTTAGTAATTCAGATATACAATAGCAGAAAAAGACGAAAACTTTAAGATATGTGTGTTGGCAGGACAGCTTTTCATCAGGGGACACACTGCTTGCTAACACACAGGAGCCTTTCTGTTGTCAGTGGTGAAACCAAAAACTGACAGTGCCCCGAGGCCCCATAATGGAAAAACAAACAAAAAAAATAATTAGAAAAATTGAAATGTAAATGCAAAAAAAACTTCATGACAAACAATCGCAATTTAAAAGTACACAGAGTAAGACTTAATCGAGACAGAGTAAGACCACAAAGATGCACCCACAAATAAGAAATATAAATAAAGTTACAGCTAAAATAACCAAATAAAAATAAAATTTGAATCGTCAAATGATTAAGAAAACTTTTGAAAATTTTGAAAAAGAAAAGAAAAAAACATTCAATGAGAAAAATTCTAAAAAAGTGCTGCCATCTATATGCTGATCTACGGAACAAAAAATCCTAAATTTCACCGCATAGAAGTGTTTAATATTTTAACATGATAACATTAAAGGGCCGAGTGGCTAATTTGTAAACTCAATCGAAAAACTTAACTTGAATGAAATATGTTTATCAAACATTGGATAAATAAATAAAAACTTGGGAAATATTACGTGTGACATTTTTTAACAACTTAGACGCACTTCATTATTTTTATTATATTATTGAACATCTTTATAATTGAAATATTTTATTATTGGCACATTTCGTTATTGGCTGCAGTATTGCTTCTGGAAAAGAATTCTGTGACAACAAACAAAAGGAAATACATTATTGATTCAATTACCATTATTGATTCAACTTAAACACATTTCATTATTTGTCTAATATTAGTATTTACCTAATTATTCACCTTATTATTGCTTCTTTGAAAAAAGCTCTTGCTCACAAAAAATATAAATCAAGCATGCATTAATAAAAATATATATTTGCATTTAATAAAATAATCTTTGGGTGCCTGTAACTATTTTGTAATCTTAAAAAAATAAAAAAAATATTTTTAAAAAAAAAAAGGAATTTGTACTAACAACTACAATTATTCTATAACTGTCTTTTTGAAAATGGAATTTTTTTTTCACATTAAAATTATTCGGAAATACATAATGATGACTAGACTAGAATTAGTCTATAATTTGATGAAACTTTAGATGATTTATGTTTGTTGAAACAGCGTAGTTCGTGAGAGTGAGATATCGCTTCTTATTTCAGATTATAATAAGGAATATTTTATTTGTATAAATTCAATTGCATCGTACTTGCTTTAACAATCTGCTTAATTTTCATCTCAAGGTAAGCCCAATCTGGACATTTTTGCCGTTTCGTAGTCATTTCTCAACTTTAAAATTTCTACTTATTTATTCTTTACTGCTTTAAAAAAAAATCTGACACAAAATATATAAACACAAAATATATAAAAAAAAATAATTGATTTCGCTTCTTATTTGTCAATATTTTTTTTTATTTCTTTATTTGAAGCGAAGTTTTGAACCGGAAATACGCGATTTTTTTCTTCTCTGCTCACAATACTTTTGGAATTGATCTCAATATATATATTCATATACTGAGATATTAAGATAATTATAATTATACATTGATTAAAATTCCGAGCCATCAATAAACTTGTTTTTGCCGGGCTATGCAAAAGTTAATTACAGCAAAATTACTTACGTCGATATAACTTTTCAAATGTTTTTATTAAAAATATAGAAGTTTTTTTTTTCAATGATTTTTTCAGACAAATGAGTGAAAACACTTTTAATATTTGACTATTCCTCTTATTACAATAATTGATTGAGAACTTTGACTAATTATAACGATCATTGATCATGATAAAATAATTTATGATTATTCATTAATTCTACTTACAATCACATGTTTTTATCATCATATATTATATATTTTTATACATTTTTTCAAACGGTCTTATTCTAGAAAACTTGCCAAGAGAACTATGAAGATTCATCGATTATTCATTCTAGTGGCATTAGCTACTTTAAATGTAATATTTTCTGCAGAAGCTGCCGATGTAAAAAATGCAAGTAAATTGGCAGTGGCAAATAATGAGCTAGGTGTGAAACTTTACCACAGGTTTACTCAGAATGATGACAGAAATATTTTCTTCTCACCTTTCAGCCTATCAACAGCTTTTGGAATGCTTTTCGTTGGCACTGGTGGAAACTCAGCTAAAGTAGGTGCAATTGGTTTCACTCGCCAACATACACCGAAGAGCCATTACATTATGACCACCCTGCTATAACATCTAGGACCACCTTTAGCCCTCAAAACTGCTAGCACCCTCCGTGGCATTGGTTCCACAAGGTGCTGATAGGTAGTCTGAGGTATCTGGTACCAAGCGCTCACCAACTGGTCCTACAATTCCCTCACATAGCTAGGGGATAGCGTGGCAGCACGAATTTGGTTTTCCAAGTAGGACCACAAATGGATTAAGCTCAGGTGAATTTGGGGGCCAAGACCTGACTTGAAAGTCACTGGAATGTTCCTCGAACCAATCCATGACGATTCGACCCTTATGAAATGGTGCATTATCCTGTTGGTAAACACCATCCCCTGCAGGAAAAACTGTAGCCATGAATGGGTGAGCCTTGTCTGCAACTATGTTCAAGTAGCTTACAGACGTCAGGGATTGTTCTATGAACATTATGGGTTCTAATGTGCTCCATGAAAGCATTGTTCCTGGGCAAGAAGCCATGAAAACCTGGGTGAGCCCATTGTTATAGATGGAGGGTGGTCATAATGTAATGGCTCTTCGGTGTATATATCGTTTTGTTTAAGATTTAAGTTCATACCAATTCACAGTGGGCCAGCATTCAAGGTTTCGTGACCAAAATTAGTATTTCAATAAACTTAGTTTCGAAATTAGGGGGTCTTTTGGAGTTTTTATGAGCAGGTAAACTGATAGTGATTCATAGTTGAAATTTTGAAATACACTAAAAATACCAACAAAAGAAAATGGCGGCTGAAATATGGCGAGCAGAAATAAAAAATAATAATATAGTACGTTTAAATAATTAAATATAGCAATCAAAATATAATCATTTTCGTAATTTTATATTAAAAATGAAAAGCTAATCATATTTCCGAAGTAATATTACTAAATAACCCTGATTAATTACAAAATAACGCGAAAACATGAAGAAAAAAAAAATTTTGTTTTTCGTTATATTCAGTCCATCTTCGCTATACGGACAAAATGGAGACAGGTTTTTTCGAAAGAAGAAACATCAAAGAAGACAACAAAAAAAAATTACGAAATAACGCGAAAACATCAACAAAAAAAACATAATTTTTGTTTTTCGGTATATTTAGGCCATCTTCGCAATACGGGTAAAATGGGACAGGCTTTTTCGAAAGAAGAAACATCACAGAAGACAACAAAAAAAAGTTTGACTAATTACCTCGTGGAACATTTTGGAACTAAGTTTCGAAAGTCATGCAAACATTGTAAAATGTCAAAGGATAAGATATAAACTGTGAGTTTGTCAAGAGTATTAACTAATCCAACAAATTGAAAAATTGTACTATAATTTCAGACTAATTACTCTGATAAAAATGTAACAGTTAGGTGAAATTCCTATATATATTTCTGACATAAAAATTTAAAAGTTACATTAAAAAAACTTTTTTTTAAACATATTTTTTCATTACATTGTACTCTCGTCTGTCCAAAAAGTAAATTATAATGTTTGGAATAATTTGGGCTATATTAAAACTGCCTACACATATTTTAGCTGAAAATTTAATTTTTGGCTTATGGCCAAAGATCATGGTCTTCTGGCCCACTGCGCAATTTCTTTAATCATTTTTTCCCATATTAAGTGTAATGTAGTTCAGCTAAAGTAGGTGAGATTGTTTCACTTGTTAACATGGAACATATGTCCCATTTGCTTAAGATTTCGGCTGATATCAATTCCTTGAATAATTTTTTTTTTCATTTTGTATATGTTACCGGCAAAGTATGAAACGCCGGCATTGTATAGATTACCTGACGTTTTCAGGCGAAGCATGAAATGTGAGAATTATTACATACTTTCCCTAGGCATTGTATACAATTCCTAGGCATTCTATAGAACGCCAAATGCTATTTAGGCAAAGTATGAAATAAACGTCCTGATGAGGTTATTATGTAAGTGACGTGCATGTTACTGTGAATGACCGAAATCAGTGATTGTTGACTTTCACCGGTGAATGTTGACAATCAAATTAGTCGCTTTGGTTACTGTCCGAAATATTTATTACATCCGATTTGAAATTGATTTATTCGTCGATATAATTACATTTATTCCATATTTTAATACTTACTGACGATAGATTAGAAGAAATATCAGTGTTTGGAGTATCGGGCAAATGTATACCGGGCAGTGGCACTTGACTAGACCTAGTATGTATTTTACCAAAGGTCTAGTCATACTAGGTCTAATTAAGTGCCATTGCCCGGCATGCATTTGTCGGGTATATCCTACACTGATGTTTCTTTAAGGTTCAGTGCCACTGCCCGGTATACCCCACACTGATGTTTTTTTAAGGTCAAGTGAAACTGCCCGGTATACATTTGCCCGATACTCCAAACACTGATGTTTCTTCTAATCTATCGTCAGTAAGTATTAAAATATGAGAAGAATCAC